GTGTCTGCTTTATGAAAACTGAACAAAGATTTTAAAAATAAAAGAAAAATGTGTATGAGGACACAAATGCCCCCGCTCCAACTTGCATTTTTGAAGTTAAAAAGGGGAATAACTCTAAAATGGTGCATGACTCACAATCTAAATCCTAACTCTGTCTGTGAGTGTTGGTTATTAACATTGTGAATGAGTTTCATAAACATTGAAATAGGCAAACTAATTTTAGAGTGCGGAAACGACATTGGGACGGACGGACAAGGATAACTCGTAATGCCCTCTTCCCCCCACCCCTTACCCCATGTCTACGGTGACGGTATAAAAGATGTCATATACGAAAAATACATGTGTGTATATAGTTTAACCTGCATATCCTTCGTATGAACCGATTCAAAATTTCCCCCGAACCTGTGTTATCCTTTGCCATTCATGTTACAACGCTTTAATGAGTGAGAGGTTTAGCTAGCTTTAAAACCAGGTTTAATCCACCATTTTCTACATAAGAAAATGCCTGTACAAAGTCAGATGTGTTTGAGCTTTTGATTTTGCCATTTGATTAGGGACTTTCCATTTTGAATTTTCCTCGGAGTTCGGTATTATTGTTATTTTTATTATTTAGTCCAATGATTAAAGTGACGGTTTCTGATGGCGGATTTGTATTTCAACTGATATTCTATGAGATTAAAGCCTGCGACTTTTGATACCTTGATTATACATTAATGATATTCTGAGAAAGGAAATATGTGGTAATCTTTTTTTTTCTGTCCTTTTGAAATATCTCCCACTGTACATATCTGGCTGCTTATATCGTCTCTAATACGTTGATCCAAACTAGTTTTTTTGTTTTGCAATTTTCAGATATTGCTGCCCCCTCATTACACTTCAAGCACCAAATTAGTCAATTTTCTGTACGCAGAGAGGAGCAAAACATGCATTTCGTCACCTGTATACGTGGAACCGTCCATCAAATCGCTGCATAAACAAACGTGACTCATCGCAAAACCGGACCCTCAATGCATTACACCAAAAAACACGTGCTTGTCCGTGTACCTTGGTCAAAACTTATCTAATTTAAGTTCTTCTTGGTTGAATTATACGTTACTTAACCCTGTCACGGACTGCCTAGGCGGACGTTTTCTTAAAACTTTAAAAACATTTGTGTACCAGCAGTGATTGAAGTGACTGTTCGGGTAACCTAGATTGAGCACTCAGATATACCGATCTTTAGCCAAAATAATGATGCGTGACCTTCTACGCCTATGACAACCATGACCTGATTCAGTTTGATTTATTTTCTGGCAAAGGAGTAAATATTGTGCCAGTAATTTGTATTTTAGAAACTTCGTTGATATCACAATACTTATCATTTGATTATTTGATATTCATTTATTGATGGGCAAATACGTGCAAATGTTTTCCCCTTTTTGCAGAGCTTTTAATCTCTGTCGAAAAAAAGCGTAACTTTTCAGCGAATCCAAATATATTTGTTTTATTTTTATAAATTGCCCATAAGTATTTCGTTTCATAATATATCTGTCTCGCTAGCTTTTGTTAAAAGACTGGAACTTTGATCATACTGCAATTTGAATCTTGATTGGACTCTTGGTTGCTTTTAATTCTACTCAAATTAGATTCTCCGATGAAATGTATGAACAATTTACATTTCTGTGAGAGACAAGATACGTTTGCTGTCTTCTGACGAAGCAACCTAATACGATGTAATTTAAGGAGCCGTCTCCAATTTAGAAGAGAGGAAACAAGACTTTGCAATTTTCAAATGTAAGAATTCAAGATCAGGAAGAGTTTAACTCCTCAACAAGTAATATGCATGCCTTCACTGTATATACGATGTTTCCAATTGAGTCTATGTCGTTTTAATTATTTTTATTATATGAAAAATTAAGAAAAGTAACAATTCATTGAAGATAATTATTTCGGGTTTGGCCCGGTGCAGATTTCATAACATAACAAAACATTATCATCGACTACTGTAGAAGCAGGATAACATGGCCAGAAGACAACAACAATGTTTATCAGATCTATAATTACGCATGTAGTATATAGTAGAATTGTATATAGCAGTTCACCTATATCTTAAATGGTAGTTTGAAATTATTTAATAAAATTAAGAATGGAAATGGGGAATGTGTCAAAGAGACAACAACCCGACCATAGATCAGACAACAGCTGAAGGCCACAAATGGGTCTTCAATGCAACGAGAAACTCCCGCAACCCGGAGGCGTCCTTCAGCTGGCCCCTAAACAAATATATATACTAGTTCAGTGATAATGGACGTCATACTAAACTCCAAATTATGCACAGGAAACTAAAACTAAAAATGATACAAGACTAACAAAGGCCAGAGGCTCCTGGCTTGGGACAGGCGCAAAAATCCGGCGGGGTTAAACATGTTTTTGAGATGTCAACCCTCCCCTATACCTCTAGCCAATGTAGAAAAAACAAACGCACTACAGTACGCACAGTAAAACTCAGTATAAGAGAAGTCCGAGTCCGATGTCAGAATAGGAAACAAAAGAAAATAAACAAAATGACAATAATACATAAATAACAACAGACTACTAGCAGTTACTGACATGCCAGCTCCAGACCTCAACTAAACTGATTGAAAGATTATGTCTTCATCATATGAATATCAGGCACAATCCCTCCTGTTAGGGGTTTAGTATTATACCGTCATAAAATATATGAGAAGAACATAACCCGTGTCATGCCAACAACTGGTTTTAGAATAAATGTGTTTAATTCCGATGCAAAGACCCTATAAGTGAATCAATATTGAAGCCAAAATATGCAATCTTTAATGACATGACAACAGTATCGTAACTATATCCCTTCTTAATAAGTCTGTTCAAAAGTTTTGTTAGCTTTTGAGGTGAATACTGACATTTTTGTGCTTTGTAAAGAATATTACCATAAAATATTGGATGTGAAATACCCGAACGTATAAGATGTCTGCATGTTGAGTTATATTTACGAATGATGTCCTTATACCGATGATAAAATTTAGTAAATGTTTTGACTAGTTTATGATATCGAAAACCCTGATGTAATAATTTTTCAGTAATACATAAATTTCTCTCGTTAAAATCTAAAACATTGTTACATACACGAGCGAATCGTACAAGTTGAGATATATAAACACCGTAAGATGGTGACAAGGGAACGTCACCATCTAAAAATGGATAATTAACGATAGGAAATGAAAAATCATCTCTTTTATCATAAATTTTTGTATTAAGCTTCCCGTTAATGATATAGATATTAAGATCGAGGAAAGGACAGTGGTCATTGTAAGTATTAGCTTTATTCAAAGTAAGTTCAACAGGATAAATTTCTTTAGTATACACACTGAAGTCGTCATTATTGAGAGCCAATATATCATCCAAATATCTAAAAGTATTGTTAAATTTTTGTATCAGATGTTGTTTCGATGGGTCTTTGCTGATTTTAGTCATAAATTGTAACTCATAACAATACAAAAACAGGTCCGCAATAAGTGGTGCACAGTTAGTCCCCTTTGGAATTCCGATAACTTGACGATATACGGAATCTCCAAAGCACACAAAAATGTTATCAAGTAAAAATTCAAGGGCAGATATAGTATCAAAGCATGTCCAATTGACATAGTTCTTTTGTTTGTTGCTACTAAAAAATGACCTAAAAGAGTTTGAACATATGTATTCGCATTCCGACTTTTTAAATGCCCATTTAATTAGGTGTGTGGATTTTTTCTTGATAAGAATATGAAGCAAAGTGGTATATAGGGTAGAAAAATCAAAACTTTGAACAGATTCAAAATCACCAATATATGCATGCAATTTATCAAGTACTTCCAACGAGTTTTTGACACTCCAAAAGAAATTAATTCCACTATTTTCAAAGGCCTTATTTGAACAATTTATTATCAGGATTTTAATTGTACCAAGTGTACTAGTAAGTAGAATAGACAATTTAGTAGTGGAACAATGACTTGAAGACGAAACAAATCTATATTAAGTATACTCAGTTTAAATATTAATAGCTGGTTGTTTTTCAGTATAACAAAATAATGGTGCAAATAACCTGTAGATGTCGTACTCAGCTCTCAAAATATGTTTTGTACCTATTCCTAAATATCAGGAAAAAATACGAATACTGTGTTATGAAAATTTGCTGTTACGAAATTTTGGATTATATCCTAGATTAAGGAATATATCTTCCTCTGATTCCTTCCTCATCTTTGTCTCTAATTGTTGTCCTGTTTGGTTTATATGCTCTTCATTTGTTTAAGAGCCAATCCGCCAGAAAACCATGCAATATTCAGAAAATCGTCCAAATCGACAATCACAACTTGACAAATTTTTATACATCATCTTAATCCTTGACATAAAATAAAAGAATTTGACCACTTAATTTTTCCCAGAATCGTATCTATTTTTAGTAACAGCCTCATTTGCATAATTCTGGAAATTCATAATGAAACCAAGGAAAAATCCAACTTTTTTATGCCTTTTAAGAATGACCCAGAAGCATATTAAATGGGGTAGTTGAGTTTTTAGAGTAATGTCAGCTGAAACTCATCCATTTTACTATGTTATGATCAATACAAAAGAAAATTTAAACGATTTGGCACATTGCCAGGAGCAGGGACACGAAGGCGGGTTTTTTCATACATGAATCTACGTGGTTTTCATTCGCTTCTATCTTGCAAGACCCATTCCGGATTTGTTTGCAACTTATATCGGTTTTAACTATGGGGTATGTTTTATATCAAAACAAAATATTAAGCTTGGCAAATGACTATTATATGTTAATTTATGCCTTGGAAGAATGATGATTTTAGTCACAAATTGACACATTTTGATTTTGATTTTAATTAAATTCGTACTTTTTCTAAACACAATTGGTACTAAAATGGCTCATAAAATCATTCGAACAAGTAAAATCAATTTGTCTGAAAAATGAAATAAGATGTATTTGTACTGCAAGTCCAAAAATAAATAAATTGTCTGAAACCAGGGAGTCCATCTTTTATGCTCTTCCATTGACTTATCTCCCTTGGGTAAGATCTCAAACATGTCAGCTCCCAGTGATGGTTTGGCAGACAAATGTTTACAGTGAAGTTTGTGACTTTAATAATCTAGGATGAGCATGTGGGCTATCCCAGCCTTATACATCTACATATTACAAACTATTTAAGATATCTGAATGCACTAAAGACCAAAATAGCATTTCCAAAAAAAATAATTACTGCCAAGAAATTTGACAATCATGACAATAATTTAGTGAATAAACATGATAAATATTGATTGGAAAAATAAGTCCATGAACAGCAAAAAGTGTTTTCAACGAGCAAAACAAAAGTATTCTAAACCATTCTTCGTAAAAAAAAAGTGAGCAAGTGGAACCACCTTGCTCGCACCAAAATTGAGATTGAGAGTGTCAAAACTGCTCTGGCGCACCATCAATAAATCAACGACACTCTCTCTACCGTGGTATTGAAACCAGCATTGGTAACCAAACATATTCATACAGATACAGACTACCAGTCATCTACATTTAGGAAGTCTAAATAATACTGAAAACTATGGTGTAGAATTTCCAACAGGACTCCTTATTTTATATAAGACAAGGAGTGGTTTATTTTCCCATGGTTGTTACATCATCTTGTCTTTGAATATGCTCGAAGTACAGGGACTTTTATGGAATTCATTGACATGATAGTCAAGCAAGATGTCAACATCTCCTCCAACCCTCTTCCAGCAAAGCCAAAGCTGACCAAGGATCTTCACCCTTTCAAAACAGGCTGTATACAGGACGAGTTATTCCAGTAGGAACAGGTACAAATCTTACAATCAATTTTCATTTGTTCCATATAGTCAATCTGAAATTAGGGGACCAACAATTGATACATTAGCTAGATTAAAAAAAGTGGGGGGGGAGGGGGGGGGGGTGTTGAAGGGGCATGTGAATATTCTTTTACACCTGACCTGTTTCTAAGACATCTTATTTATTTCCTATGGCAAAGTGCAAGCAAATAATATATATCCGTATATACATTGTTCTGTCTTTTTGACCATTTGATTAAAAAAGCAAGGGGGAGGGTTAGAATGGTCAAAATATTTATGTCTTGGTCACCTTAGGACAGAATTTTAATTTTCAAGCTATTAACCTGGGTACAATATATATTTATTTTCTGCTTTAAAAAATCAATTTATAGACCAGAATCATGATAATAATCAAAATCTATTTCAACATATTCAATGTTTAGCAGGTCAGTTTTTTATTCTCTTCCCCTAAGTTATATTTTCAGTTCTTACTGGAAGTTGTTCAGCTCTTTGTTTACTAAAAAAACTTTTATCTCGTGGAAAAGCCTCCTACAAATACATGTTTTACATACAACAAACTGTACATGTAACACTAGACAACTTTATCCAGAGAATAATATTTTATTAATGAACTAATAGGCCATTGAGACTAAAAAAATCAAAAGCATTGCAAACTTTTGTAAAGTTCAATTTTAGGACCCTACATGTACATGTATGTAGATTACTTATAGAGCCCTTTTTAAAAGAAAAACATACATTTAAACTACATGCACAGTGATGCTGCACTACCCTACATTTCCTGTCTGATATATTTTATTTCATGTAAAACAAAATTGAAGAATCATTTTATAGTTTAACACTTTTTATTTGTAGGGCTATATATATGCAAGCAATGCTCAATTAAGATGAATTTTTGTAAAAGTGACAATAGCCAGGTCAAACTAAGTACATGTATAGAAGAAGATATTGGTAAGTTATTATTAACTTATATATTAATTTAACTGTTTGTATAACATGGTAATCATACAGTGAGAGGTTTATTATCTAGCTATAAAACCAGGTTCAATCCACCATTTTCTACATAAGAAAATGCCTGTACCAAGTCAGGAATATGACAGTTGTTATTCATTCGTTTGATGTGTTTGAACTTTTGATTGGGGACTTTCCTTTTTGAATTTTCCTCGGAGTTCAGTATTTTTGTGATTTTACTTTTTCAAATATAAAAGGGGGAGACTTTTATTGGTACTTTTGAAGATATTTCACCTGTTCCATTAATTGATTGGTTGTTGGTAATGCTAATGTCCAATGGCAAATAGTTCATGCATGTTAAGGACAAGAACAAATTAAAATAAATACATTATTTGGATTCTTAATATGCTAAATCTAACAATGTATTTAAATAATTTAAGATGTTGCAATTGGGCCCCATTTAAAATTGGTTCACATTGATTTCAAAATGGTCCAAAATTTTTTTCTTATTTCTACACAACTTGAATTCTTGAGGTTCTTTTGATATACAAAATGCAAATGTTTTATATTTAGATTTTTAATTTTGGTCCGGTTTTCAAATTTGTCCACATTTTAAAGTCCAAAGGGTCCAAATTTTAACTTAGTTTAATTTTAACAAAACTTGAACTCTAATTACAATGAATTAGGGTTCTTTGAATGATAAATAGAAATAATCAAATATCCTGAATATAAATATGTACTTAGATTTATGATTTCGGTCCCAGTTTTCAAGTTGGTTCAAATGGGGTCCATAATTTAACTGTGTTTGATTTCAACAATAATTTTAAAGATGCTGATTCAGCCTGAATCTAACCTGTATTTTGTTTTTGGGCCCTATTATGAAATTGGTTTACATTGAGGTCCAAAGGGTCCAAAATTAAACTAAATTTTAAATCTTAATTTGATCTTGGGGTTCTCTGATATGCTGAATCTATTAAACTTTATCTTTATACCATATTTATTCTGTGTTAGAAACCTATTCTTTGTCAAATATTTAATCCCATTACAAATTTAGAGGTGTTATAGCTTGAATGTTCTGTCCAAACTTCATCTTCCACAAAATTTGTCCTTTTCTGAGATAACTGGTGTTATCTTTTTAAATGAAACTTTAGTGAAAAGAAAAGCACAATATGTGGATGATTATCTGATGTCAAACATTTTCAAGATGGCCACCAAGGATGGCACAAATTTCAACACTGGTTAATTTAATGAAAATTGTTAATTAGGGATAGTCGTGGTAGTTTGACTTGCTAAACAAAGTAAGGTTGTTTTTTCTTCCAAAATGGCAAACATTTTCAAGATGGCCTTATATGAAAATTGACAATAAGGAATTATAGCACTTTTGACATGCCAACAAAACAATGAATTTTTTTTTAAAGATGGACACAGCAAATAAAGGGTAAAATTTTCAATTTTGTTGAGTTTGATTTTAAAGAATATTGATATTTAGCTGTACTTTGACACAGAGAACAGATATAAAGATGGCCACCATTTCAAAGATTGTCACTAAAAGCGGTCAAATTATCACCATTGTCTGTTTTCAATGTAAAATTATATTGAGAGGTAATTTGACATGCCAAACCAAATGGAGGCAATTTTTATACGACCACAAAAAAAATTTTGTGGTCGTATATTGGTATGACGTTGGCGTCATCGTCGTTGTTGTCGTCCGAAGACACATTAGTTTTCGCACTCTAACTTTAGTTGAAGTGAATGGATCTCAATGAAATTTTACCATAAGGTTCAATACCACAAAAGGAAGGTGGGGATTGATTTTGGGGGTTATGGTACCCACAGTTAAGGAATTAGGGGCCAAAAAGGGGCCAAAAATAAGCATTTTTGTAACTTCCAGACTTAACTTGTGTGTAAGTGTATGGATCTCTCTGACATTGTACCACAAGGTTCCATATCACAAAGGGAATGCTGGGATTGATTTTGGGGGTAATTGCCTCCAAATTTTAGGAATTAGGGGCCAAAAAAGGGGCAAAAAACAAGCATTTTTCTAGTTTCATGACAATAACTTGTGTGTAAGTGTATGGATCTCTCTGACATTGTATCACAAGGTTCCATATCACAAAGGGAATGCTGGGATTGATTTTGGGGGTAATTGCCTCCAAATTTTAGGAATTAGGAGCCAAAAAGGGGCAAAAAACAAGCATTTTTCTAGTTTCATGACAATAACTTGTGTGTAAGTGTATGGATCTTTATGAAATTGTACTACAAGGTTCCATATCACAAAGGGAAAACTGAAATTGAGTTTGGGGGTAATTGCCCAAAAAGTTTAGGAATAAGGGGCCAAAAAGGGGCAAAAAATAAGCATTTTTCTAGTTTCCAGACAATAACATGTGTTCAAATGTAGGGATCTCTCTGAAATTGTATTGCAAGGTACCATACCACAAAGGGAAGGCTGGGATTGATTTTGGGGGTAATTCCCTCAAAATTTTAGTAATTAGGGGCCATTAAAGGGCAAAAAAACAAGCATTTTTCTATTTTCAGGACAATAACTTGTGTGTAAGTGTATGGATCTTTATGAAATTGTACTGCAAGGTTCCATATCACAAAGGGAAAGCTGTGTTTGAGTTTGGGGGTAATTGCCCTAAACGTTTAGGAATTTGGGGCCAAAAAGAGGCCAAAAAACAAGCATTTTTCTAGTTTCCAGACAATAACTTGTGTTCAAGTGTATGGATCTCTCTGAAACTGTACTGCAAGGTACCATACCACAAAGGGAAAGCTGGGATTGAGTTTCGGGGTGATGAATCATAAGGGGGTTCAAAAAATTGGGGGGGATTTTTTTTTCCTTTTTTTTCTTTAAAATTTTCCATTTTAAATTGGTTATTTCTGATTTATATATAAAAGCAAATAATAATGATATGGTTTGAATAGGTAAATTAAAAATTTTTAAGTTCTTAGACCACATTCATTCTGTGTCAGAAACCTATGCTGTGTCAAATATTTAATTACAATCCAAATTCAGTGCTGTACCAAGCTGGAATGTTGTGTCCATACTTGCCCCAACTGTTCAGAGTTCGAACTCTGCGGTCGTATCAAGCTGCGCCCCAGCGGAGCATTTTATTATTGCTGTAAAGATGTTAAGGGCTATTTGGACATGCTTAAAAGGAGTGGATAATAACTATTCTGCAAAAATGATTTGGCTTTAGTTGGGAGAATTTTGTAACTGCATCCACTTACAGTAAAAGTTGTCAATTTTATTTCCTGTCAGTGGTATATATGAAATTAGAAAAAAATGTGGTATGATTGCCAATGAGAACAAATGACATAGAAGTAAAGCTATAGGTCTTCATATGCCATATGGCCTTCAACAATGAGCAAGACCTATACTGCATATATATATTCAGCCATAAAAGGCCCCAAAGTAAGAAAATGAAAAAATATGAAAACTAACAGCCTGATTTATGTATGTATGTTTTGTGGTTTTCAGATCTAGACTCGCAGCTAACCTTTCTGTCAGTGGCAACAACAACTGAACTTTCACAGCAGTCAACATCAGATTGGGAGACTGATAATGCTTCTAACAGAAACAATTTCAACCAACCAAACAAGCAACAGAAACTTTCTAACTTTAAAACATCAGTTAAATCTTCCATGGGATGATGTCTCAAAAAATAACAGTTCATCATTTATGGAGATTTTAATGTTATGGTTTTTCTTTTACAAGAAAGTTAATGTACACTTGTTTTATAGTAAAACCTATAGCCGTTCAAGTATAAAAAAACACATTCAACATTATTGAAATTTGAAGATTCATATGACTTATTTTAATTCTGTTATCTCCAAGGATGTGATGTAAAGCATTATAGGTACAGAAATCTTAACAGCTATCCAATTTCATTCAAAATTCTTTATAAATTTTGTACTGGTATATATAGACTAAGTAATTTGTTTTTCGTCTAGTTATGGGATTTTTTTTTTAGAAGCATTTATGATTTTCATGTTTGTATTGACCACATTGCAGCAACATAGATATAGGTACCTGGCAAATCTTGCCTTGTTAGCATACTAGGCTCAAAGGGTCATAGAAAAATTTCCATCACTAAGTGTCTGTTAAAATCATCTGTTTACAGTTTTCACTTTTAAACCATCATCTTAATAACTTTAGAAGAAGTGTCATACATATATATATGTATACAAAATTTAAAAGCTTTTCAATATATATATATATATATATATATAAACAAGTCTAAATTGAAAACAACGTTCAAACCTATGATTGCGTTGGATAAAAACCGCAATTTTTATACGTGTGCATGCAAAACAAATTTCTTTGTAGAGGGGTCTAAATACAGCACAAACAACATTTTCCAAAAGACCAAAAAAGTGAAATAGTATATTTTAACAAAACGCATTTGACTAGCAGGTCGAACAACGGATGTTCTTTAACCCTGGTGACTGCCATTGCGATTGCCAAATAAACGGATCACAGATGTAACACAATGGATCTTAATTATATTAATTTAATACCAAACAGATAACAATAAACTTGCGGAAAAGATGGTATGCCGCAAACAAGAGGTGAAAAATTTGTACACCATATCCGGATTTCGACAATTAATGTCTCTTCAGTGATGTTAGGAATCGAAACGGTATTTGGAAGGCCATATATATATATATATATATATATATATATTGATAAAAACTATCAACATGACAAGATCTAAATACCCAAAATTTTTCTGAAAAATTGGACATAACATCTATGAGCTATTGTCCCTGAAATGTGTAAATTTACAAATTTTCACAGTTTTCTGCTACTATTCGACAACTATATCAATATATTATAGAATAAATTGCAAAAGTGTTCAAAAGAAACTTTTTTTTTACAGTCTGAACTTATTCTGAATTGTTTAACTTCTAATTTAAATTGATTGCGTTTGAAATATGTGTTTTTTATCGTTTTAGGTGCACAATTTGTCAATACGATCTATTTCGGCTCCTGGGAGCCTCTAGATTTATAATGAATAATTTGTATTTATGTATGATTATTTTCTTAATGTATTAAATGAAACATTAATTATTCTTTTCCATTTGATGTTATACTTATTTATAAGTCCAGATCCTATCATATGTCAGTAGTTACAAATTAGACGGCAAAATTGAGAAAATTTGAATATGCAGGTTACCCCATTTTGTTGTGGCATATACCAGACACCAACATTATTTGCCGAGCTTGATATTTTTTTTGATTGGGAATATATAGTTATACTTTGCAAGTAGATATGTTGTTTTACAATAATAAACGGGTCTTGGAGTATTTTGGCTCTGAAAGATGACCAAAATCAGCCATTTTGGACATGTAGCTAAATAAGACATATTGAAACAGTTAGATTATACATACACTTAATAGACAGCATTGTTAATTCTATGCATTCTTACACTTAAAGTGATGTATTACTAGGAACAACTATCAAAAAATTATAAATGTTACCATATTTTTTTATTTAAACCAGCGAAATATGCCAAAAAAGGCTTATTTTTGCTGTTTTCGAGCAATTTCATCTGTTAAAACATGGCGCTAAAAAAATAGCCAGATCGGTTCAATATTTTCCCAAAAAAATTTGTGTGGTTATTAACATTACTAAGGTGCACCAATATGCCAAATATGAACTCATTTGGAAAAAGTGACATTCGGACGGTTTTGCATGGTTTTCTGGCAGATTGGCTCTTAATAACAAAACAAATTGGCACCGTTAATGCTGTTGAAGCTCAGTAATATTAAACTTCTGACAATTAAAGCTTACAATTTTATATCCTTGAACTATTTTCAGCTCGTTTACAATATTTAGTATTTGATTTGTTATTTAAAAGAACATTTTTGTTTTTGTTTAATTTGATTAATTGATTTGTGTTTCCTTTTTGTTGCCTAATTTGTCAATAAATATATCTAATATGAACATTAGCAAACTTATTTCATGCAGCAATTCATATTTATTTTCTACGAATTACAGTGCAAACTCATCGAAAAGCTGCTAATGCTATCATTCATAATTAAACCATTGATTGAAAAAAGTACCATTAGCATATTATCGCAAAATATATATCATTTTAACTTACGATAAGAGTTTCGTTGAATAATCTGCCATCCTCCTAGGGATTCTTTTTCAATGAAACATTGCCCGGAAGAATCAATACGACATGTTGATGTTCCTCTAGCAAAGCTCGCCAAACAGCATTGATGATCTAATAAGCATATATTTGCACATGAAACCATCGACTTTGAGTAAACATCAGTGGTGTTTTCGGTCAGTAGAATTCTAGTGCTGCCTTTAATATTAAACGTTTCCGTCCTTAAGATTTCATCATTTGCGTTTACTGCTTTAAACAGACGTGTTGTAATAAAACAGACGACTACACAATAAGGAAAACGGCAAATTTTCATATTCAATCAGGTATATGTTTCAGTGTTGCTATTCTGAAGTTAGACAGACTGGTGTCGACATTGAAATAAGATTTTCTAAAATCAAATTTCTTATAAATATTAAAAAGGTGTTCCTAAAATAGATTTTTCTCATACAGCCCAATTGTAAGATAAGTAGTATTATCGATAATATTTATTTATTAGTCGATAAAATATAAACGATAACAATGCATATACCCACATTAAAACACTGCATTGTGTCATACATAAAAGTTCTGATGTCAATATCAGAACATCTGTTGAGAAGTGAAACCTACTTTTCAGCTAAAGTTTAAGTAGTTTCCATGGGTTGGAAAAAATCTTAAGCGCACTGTTTGCTTTCCTTTGCAAAAATGCTTATGTCAATATAAATTATACGAAAGTTGAAAATATATTTCAACCGAAAGTGGAGTACTTTCCTTTTATGTGTACAAACAAAAAGATTATGTAAACATTTTGATTCTTCATATATTTCAATATTTCAAAAAAGACAAATCTTTATGAATCCATGTAGCAATACATCAATACAGCGGCATTATTCAAAACATCATCATTCAAAAGAATTCAAAAGAATAACACAAAAGGCGTTTAGTGTCAATTGCGAATTGAAACAAGTTTTATACAACTTACACAAAAGATAGTTTTTTTTAAGCCTTATACCAGTATGTCTACCTTTTATACTATTGTTTTATGTGATCTACCGTTTCCTTGAAAATTGTAGTTTATATACTGCAAAATCGACTTTCGTGGTCTTCGATAATGTTAGATTTTACACTCGTTAGGCCATCAGAATCTTCTGGCCTCGGAAAATATCATTTTGCGCCATTCTTTAAATAAGGGTTAAATAAATTCATTTATGTTTCGAATGTTATTCTATGCGATTTGAAGTCCTATCCTATGTTTATTATAGCCTTTTTCTAACTATACAAATTATACGAATCTAGTAGATTTTTTCTCTTCGTCAGAAACTACCATATCATATCCCAATCACTTCCGGTTTGTTTGCAAGTGGACGCACATCTCTGTAAGTTATTGATTAATTTTTTTCTTTCCCTTTTGTTTGGACATATGTTTTAAAATCTCTTCGCCGAAACCTTTTGTTTACAATATGCTAGAATTGTTCCTTTTTAGTTGTAGAGTTTCAATGAAAACATTTTGTGTTTTAATATGAAAACTTGCGTGTAGAAATCTTTTTTTGAACAGCCAAAACAAATTTGCAAAAAGTAAAATAACACAAATACCGATTTTCGTGGAACTTCAAAACGGATAGTCCCTAATCAAATGGCAAAAACCAAAGCCCAAACACACCAAACGAATGAATAACAACTGTCATATTCCCCACTTGGCACAGGCATTTTATATGTAGAAAATGGTGGATTATACCAAACACAGTCAGAACAGCAACAGTGGCGGATCTAGAGGGGGCGTAGAGAGCGTACGCCCCCCTTTGATTGCACTTTTTTTGTTTTTGTTTTTTGTAAAATGATTAATCAGACTAGACTTCGTGAACTTTGCCATTTCCCGTGTATTTGATTTTTATGCGACAATTCTTTACAACTACAAAGGCGTATTTTCCAAAATTGTATGAAAACTAAATTCAACTATCCGTTTTTTTATCTGAATGATTCTGAAATATATAAAGCCTTACAATAAGCACATTTTAAGTATGCATACAAAATGTTTACAGGATGTCATTGTCCTATATTGGATCATAATTCAAAACATTCACTCATTTGAAAGAAGGAATTCAAATGGGCATGACTGAATTAATACGTCTATCCCCACCATAATTCCACCCAAACGATTTTTAGGCTAGGGAGTACATAAGATTTAAATAACGTGAAGATACTTCTATCCTCACCATAAATTCACCCAAACGATTTTTAGGCTAGGGAGTACATAAGATTTAAATAACGTGAAGATACTTAGAACAAATCGGTTAAAGATAATGCATATTTTAAGGTTGTTGTTGTAGTATAAAACACCTTGGGGTGTCAGATTTGGCCAACGAAAGACCTGCCTACGGTCGGTCTTTCGTTTGATCAATCCTGACAACCCTCGGTATATTATACGACATGAACAACCTTAAAATATGCATTATCTTTAACTGATTTGTTCTAGATATCTTCACGTTATTTAAATCTTATGTACTCCCTAGCCTAAAAATCGTTTGGGTGGATTTATGGTGGGGATAGAAGTATCTTCACGTTATTTAAATCTTATGTACTCCCTAGCCTAAAAATCGTTTGGGTGGATTTATGGTGGGGATAAGCGTATTAATTCAGTCATGCCCATTTGAATTCCTTCTTTCAAAGTAGTAAATGTTTTGTCATCTCGAATTATGATCCGATATAGGACAATGACATCCTGTAAACATTTTGTATTCATACTTAAAATGTGCTTATTTTTAGGCTTTATATATTTTAGAATCATTCAGAAAAATAAAAAACGGATAGTTGAATTTAGTTTTCATACAATTTTGAAAAAAACGCCTTTGTAGTTGTTTGCCCACATTTTGTTTGTTTTTTACTATTTTACAGAGAGTGTATACCTTTATAGAAGATTGGAGTGGTTACAGGATTTTAATTTAGTGAATGAAATCCGAAATTCTGAACTTATAAGACACAAAATAGCAACGGTACAATAAAACATTCACAAAATAAATACAAGCACTGTCAAAGCCCGAACAAGGAATCGAAGAAAAGACAAACAACGGTCCACTAAACTCTTCACAGAAACAGTACACTAACAAACAAAATCCCCATAAAAACGTTGTTGATCACATGTGCTTTAGCAGGTTAAACATATCCTGATAACTGACACCAGTCATTTTGCTCATGGATGTATACGATACTCATGACGTGAGGAATACGTTTGATTTGATCAACA